ATACGGAATAATAAACTAATATTATTCTTAATTATCGAGTAAAAAAACGCCTCCACGTTGAAAAAAATTAATCTATGATCAGTTTTCTACTCATTGAATCATAATCAAAAAAGTAAAAAGAAAAATGAACGCATTGTATAATGTAGTTTTCTGTTTGACTGTTCTACTGGTGAATGTTGAAGGATCAGGTAAATAACTATTTTTGCTGATATAAATTATCTCACGAGAGAAGATCCTCAGATTTTTAAGATATAGTTATTTTACTGAATCTCACTGCACAGCTTTTCATACTGTTTCTTGAAATAAGATTTGATAAATTTGAATTTTATTTTGTATAGCTCTTTCCATTAATCAACCGAAATTATGTCCATCGGCAACATGGAATTCTAAGGCTATAACATTTGCTGATCAGAATACGATTGGTACACAACCTTATAGTATTTCAATTGATATCAATAATACTATTTATGTAGCAGAAGGAAATCTTAATCGTGTTCAAGTCTGGCAAAATGGAAATTCAACTCCAATAAGAAATATTTCTAATGGTTTGAACATACCACGAGCTGTTTTTCCTTCAATAAATGGTGATATTTATGTTGATAATGGTAAACCTAATGGTCAGGTAGATAGATGGACAGTAAATGCAACTAATGGTACCAGAGTCATGAATATTAGTGATGCTTGTTATGGTCTCTTTATCGATATCAACAATTATCTTTATTGTTCCATCGATCCTACTAATAACGTGATTAAACAGTCACTTGGCAACGGTACGTTAACTGTTGCTGCAGGTACTGGTACTGGCGGGAATAAGGCAAATCAGCTTAGTCACCCTCGAGGAATTTTTGTTGACACCAATTTGAATATGTATGTAGCAGATTCTGGAAACGCAAGAATTCAGCTTTTTAAACCAGGACAATCAAACGCTACAACCGTAGCAGGAACTGGAGCATCAGAAACATTCACACTCAACCAACCGGTAGCAGTTATACTTGATTCTGATGGATATTTATTCATTGCAGATTTCGGGAATAATTGTATTGTAAGATCAGGAAGATCAGGATTTTATTGTTTATTTGGATGTACATATCATCCAGGTACAGCGTCGAATCAATTACATAATCCCCAGAGTCTCAGTTTTGATAGCTATGGAAATATATATGTTGTCGATTTCAAAAATCAACGAATTCAAAAATTTAATTTGGCAACAAATTCATGCGGTAAATAGGTTTTATATTATATTTCTAGATTCTAGTTTTTTTTATAAAAATTCATCTAACAAAAGTTTCAATAGAATTTGTTTAGTAAATATGAAACTCGAAATGTCATTCTATTCTTGAATATATCATACTCGAATTGTATAATAAGAAATTGAGGATATATATTGATTTTTGTTTTTTCGTTATAGATATTTCTTACAATCTTCCGAAACTTTGTTCAAATGCAACATGGAATCCTGACGCTATAACTGTTGCGAATAGTACTAGCATTGGCCTATATCCCCAAGGTCTCTTTGTCAATATTAACAACACTGTTTATCTGTCTGCAACAAGCTTTAATAACATTTTGGTATTGTCAGAAGGAAGTACCAGTCCACAAACATATATTTCTTATGATTTGAGTGGACCAGGTGCTATGTTTGTCACTGTTGACGGTACTGTTTATGTTTACAACAGTGCGAATAATGGTAGCATATATAAATGGGCAAATAATGGAGCAGCTGGTAGTGTTCTTGCCATGTTTGTTAATAGTACTTGTAACGGTATTTTTGTCGACATCCAAGACAATATTTATTGTTCTGTGAGGCATCGTCATATCGTAACCAAAAAATTATCCAATAACACTGCAAATACAACAACTACTATCGCAGGTAATGGTACTGCCGGCTCCGGACCATATATGCTGGAAAATCCTCGAGGAATCTTTGTTGATATTAATTTCAATTTGTACATAGCAGATTGCGAAAACAATAGAATACAATTACTACAACAAGGATATACAAACATGACAACTGTAGTAGGAAATGGATCAAATGAAACAATTGTATTCGATTGTCCAACTAGTGTTGTAC